CTAAGGCTTAAGAAAGTTAAATAGGCTGGTCTACCTCAGAGTTAAGAAGGGGCAGAGCCTAGACTCAAACCTACGCTCCTTCTGCATTTCACTCTGACCCTTTCAATGTGACCCCCTGCCAACCTTTTTAAGAGTCTATCACAGCTCTATTCCTGCACTGTACTCTAGCAATAATGAACTGTAGAGAAATTATTCAAACATCATCCCCTACCCAATGCAGTTGCTTCTTGCTGTGTTCATGAATTCTATGTCCATCTTCAAAGGCCTTGATCTCCCTATGCTGTAATTTTTTATATGTCTCTTCCAAAAACTGTATGTTCCTTAAGAATAGAAACCACATCTTCTTTAATTGGTATCCACAGCCCTAGCACAACTGTGGGCAAGCTGAATATACTTAATCACTGCTAAATAATCACTATGTATTTTAAATATTCTAAGGGAAGAACAAGTATTTTTTATTCAAGAGAATTACTTTTTATTCAAGAGAATTTAACTATATACTAAATGTGCTACTATTTCACTGACACAATGATGAAATTTCATAAAGTCCACCAATACCGAATCCTATCCTCTTTGCTCCACTAATCAAATCTTCTGAGAATCTGTTTGGTAAGACTGTTACACTATGTCTACATGTGTCTAACTCCTATCCACCTACCTGGCAAACTGAACCTGCCTGATCCTAAGCGCTGGGTGACAGCCTAGTTCATACCAGATGAAATTCCAAGGTATCTATTTTGAAATCAAGTACCCCATCCAGCTACATTCCTAAGTGTGAACCAACCCTTGTTACCTGGCAATCTCCTGGTGGTAATCATAATATTCATCCTCCTCCAGCCACTCCATGGATCCTGTGGTCGGATTGGCTCGCCCACAGAAAACCTTCATGGTGCCAACCAGCTCCTCAGAGTTGGAACAGAAAGACAACTTTCACTCGTCCATTTCTTAGGAATAGACTTGATCAGAAAAAATGTATTCGACCATCAGGGGCAGGACATGACAAGAAAACAAAAGGGAACATAATCAAGAAATTGACAAAAATGTCAAAACCACTGAAAATATTTAATCTGTAATCTTTCCAGCAAGAATTATTTGATTTTTACATTAAGCACATAACATTAAAACATAAATTCAAATAGCTGTCTGGAAACTTTGGTAGTATTTAGAACTCGAACAGAAGCAAACAAGCCTCAGAGGTGCAGCTGGGTACAGTCCTCAGATAAAGGTGAGGAAGCTAAGCAAAAGACTAGTAGAGAGAGAAAAAGAAGAGAAGACATGGTGGTGCCTCAGTATACTAAGCATAAGAAAAACTACAACCGAGTAAGTCAAACAAGGAAAAGTTTTGTCTAATCCAAACAATACATCACAGCCACACACAAGCATAAATCATCCCAGGAATATGATGTTGAGTGAAAAAAGGCAAATCACAGACTGTACACAATAACTGCATCTATACAAAATTCCTACGTCAGGCATGCTGGTGCAACCCTGCAACCTCAGCAGTTGGGAGACTGAGGGAGGAGGACTGCTTCGAGTTCAAGGCCAGCCCAGGCTACACAGTGAGTTCAGGACCAGCCTGAGTACACAGCAAGATCCTGTCTCAAAAAACAAAAACAAAAAACAAAATTTCTAAGCATATAAGTGAAACAATAAATGTATAGTAGCCTTTAAGGATCACAATAAAAGGCATACCAGAGAATGAGAATAGTGGTTACTTTGGAGAGGAGGGCTGAGACAGAGTTTTCATCCCATTATTCAGGCTGGTCTCAAACTCACTCGCCTCCAGAGTGTTGAGATTACAAACTCATAGACATGTGCTACCCCACCCAGCAGAAAGTAATGGCTACTCCTAATAATAAAGGGAAAGAGACAGGATCAAAAAGATTTACACATGGATTTCAAAATGTAGTTGTTCCCTAAGTCAGAATGAACACAGGTATTCATATTATCATTCTTCGTGCTTCACTTTTTTTTTTTTTTTTTTTTTGGTGGTACTAGAGATTGAACCTAGAATCTTATGACACACTAGGCAAGCATACCATGAGCTACAACCCCAACTTTTTAAACTTTTTTTCTTTTGATACAGTTATACTAAATTGTTCAGTCTGGTCTCAAACTTGCCATCCTGCAGTCTCAGCTTTCCCAGTAGTTGGAATTACAAGTATGCCACTGTCTACTTTGCTACCTTTTATAATTACTATGTCTTAGTGTTCTTTTGCTATGACAAAATACCTGAAGGAGAAAAGGTTTATTTGGCTCAGTTTCAATGGTAAAGTTGGTGGTTTCTGTTGTTTTAGGCCTGTGGCAAAGTACAAACATCAAGGTGCAAGGGCATGGTGGAGGAAACTATTTCTTTTTACATTATCTAAATTAAGTAAATACTTACTAAGTATAGCTTATAGAAAAAAAATTTTTTTTCTGAAAAGATTCAAGTAGTCAATGTCTGGTTAAAAGTTGTCAATTTGTCTCTAGTAAACCTCTACTTCTAAAACTTTAGTATGTCCATCAGCTATTCTAGTGATTCTGAAATGTCCTGAGAATTCCCATAGTTAATATACTGTGCTTTACATTGAGAATTAATATTCACACATGCCTACAAAACTGAAAGTTACACAAAATAGGGCCAGAGGTTTAGCTCAGCAGCATAAGCGCCTGCTTGGCAAGCTTGAAGTCATGAGTTCGATTTCCGGTACCAAAAAAAAAAAAAAAAAAAAAAGTTACACAAAATATTGAAAGTGCCTACAGGGAAAGCCCTTCATATGTTTTTCTATTTTATTTGTATCTTTTTAATTGCTAGTTGCGATTCACTGAATTCATCTCACCAATGGGGTGTAAACTATAGTTTGAAAAGCACTGCTCTAGTCAGTTCTGTATACTACATATATTAATACTTAAAGACAGAATATCTAAAATTTTTACAATCTGTAATGTTTTTTAGAAAACTGTCTGTGGGGCTGGGGATTTAGTTCAGTGGCTCAAGTGCTTGCCTAGTAAGTACAAGGTCCTGAGTTCAATCCCCAGTACCCCACCACCACCAACAAAGAAAACTGTTTGTGAAACACTGTAATAAAAAGTCACACATGGTGGTCCATGCCTGTAATCCCAGTACTTCGGAAGCTGAGGCAGGAGAACTGCCCCAAGTTCAAGGCCAGCCTGTGCTACACAGTGACTTCAAAGCCCACCTCAGCTACATAGTAAGAATCTGTCTGAGAGAAAAACAAACAGAGGAAAAAATTATTCCATCTGGCTAAATGTCAAAAAACACTTAAGAGATTATAGAGAGCTTGGTGGTGGTACATGCCCATAATCCCAGTACTCTGAGAGGCCGAATTAGAAAGATCACAAATATAAAATAAACCCAGCCTCGGCAAGTCAGTGAGTCCTTGCCTCAAATAAATAAATAAATAAGGGTTGGAGATGCAGCTCAGTTCAAAGGCCATGGGTTCAACCCCAGTATTGGGGGCTGGGGAGGAAAATGGATAGTAATGGAAAGTACTTATTAGATGATAAAGGCCTAGAGAATCATATACACTGAATAAACCAGTTTGGTTAAAGTGAAAATGAACACGAAGCCAAAGGAGAGCAGCAATGTAAAGGTACAAGACCCTATACAAGGGGCTGGGGATTTAGCTCAGTGGCATAAGCACCTGCCGTGCAAGCAGACAGTCATGAGTTCAATCCCTGGTACTGATAAAAACGAAAAACACCAAGGGGAAAAAAAAAAAAAAAGACCCTATACAAAGAGAATAAGATTATGAAAAGGTTTTTTTCTTTTTTTTTTTTTTAATCGGTACCAGAGATCGAACTCATGACCGCCTGCTTGCAAGGCAGGTGCTTATGTCGCTGAGCTAAATCCCAGCCCAAGGAAAAGGTTTTTTGAGAGCGACAGCTTTTAAATTGAGATCTATAGGTCAAGCCAAGATAAAAGTTGAGGAACAATGATTGTTTTATTATTGTGAGGTTGGGGGTTAAACTCAGGGCCTTGTGCATGCTACTCGAGTGCTCTACCCCTGAGATTCCCATCTCTTTGTTATCTCTTTGTTATTTATCTTTATTTTGAGACAGGGTTCAGGCTTGCCTAGACTCCCAGTCCTCCTGCCTCAGGCTCCCAGTAGGTGGAATTACATCACGAGGCTGCCAAATTTAGCAGATATCGTTACCCTAACTTTTCCAAAAAAGAGCTGTAAGGTGATAAGAAGGAGATACACAGCTAAAATGTGGTAAGAAACTGAATGACTGAAGTGCTTAGAGAAGAAAAAACGATGAGATTAGAGGTGGGCTTCTGCAAATTACACCAAATTTTTTGGCTTCAGCATCTTAAATTTTATTCTAAGGACACACAGCAGGAACCACCCAAGGATTTTAAACAGGACTAGGTATATGCTGGGTGCACACTTTAAGAGACTGCTCCTGACTAGTATATAAATGGCTTAGTTTCCAACTACAGAGAATACTAACTTAGACGAGCTAGCAGTTTCCTCAACAGATAACTGTCGTTCAGTTTGGGAAGCGAAGCCTGAAGTACGACCGGGTATGGGTCTGTGTGGCAGACTGGACGCGCTAGGCACAAATGCCGTGATCTACACCCCATAGTGGGGTGCCCTGGACCCAGAGAAGGCAATCACTTGGCTGGACTGCGGAACCAGAGCCATCCTGGAATTCTGCTCTCCAGCCAACCAACGGGCACGGAGCCGCCCCACACGGACTCTGTAAATCTTCCAAAGAGACGCATCATTCAGCGCCCGAGTCCGTGGGCGCCTCCGCCAGAGCGTTAGGGTTGAGGACAGGGCACTGGCTGGACCCAGGACCCTAACCACGACCCCACCTTCCCAGTACGCCAGACGCCTCACCAGCAGCGAGGACCACTCGCCCTGCATCCGTTGCCAACGCCATCTTGCAGCGGTTAAGGTGCGCGGGGGCAGGATCTCAGGGGGGCCGCAGAGCATGCCGGGGACCACGCCCACAGCGGAACTGGAGTGCTCTGCGTTTGCTCCACGCGCCTTCCCATAGCGCTTCGCGACAACCGCTATGGAGGCCGGCAGGACAGCGGTGCTGCGGGTAAAGCGGAAGCGTAACGCGGAGCCCGCCGAGGCTCTGGTTTTGGCTTGTAAGCGCCTCCGAAGCGTCGAGGGTGAGTCGGTTGCCCAGGAGACACCAAAGCATCTGGACGGAGCGGCGGAGAATAATGTCTTTAAGTTGGTGGCGACCGTGCGCTCCCAGGTATTAGACAGGGATGCAATCTATATAGAGGAGATGCTAAGATTTTGCTGCGATTCGTAAGCCCCTTGTCTCCCGTACAGACCCTTCTAAACTCTTTCTGACGTCTCCCCTTTAGGAGGAGCCGATCCAGCCACTAGTGCGGGCTGCCCTGCGCCCTTACCACCGGGGCAGCCAGCAGCGTATTCGCCACAATCTCCGCGCCGCAGCTGGCGAGATCAGGAAAGAGAGCCGCTACCGGGTGGTCTCCAGCCACAGAGCGTCACAGACCTCTGGCAGCCTGGAATCTGAATACTCACCAGAAAACTCAGAAGCAGCCGGGGACTCAGGCTTTCAGCTGTTGGACCTATTACATGAGGAGGTAGACTCAGAGGCCGTCTCCACCGACTCTAGCAAAGTGAGTATCACTACATGGGTACTGGGTGTCTCTGGACAACAGTACCAGAAATCTGTGTCTGAGACCAGGACATGACTAAGAAGCGTCACACGGTTTAACCTTGGGGATGGATAATTCATCCGGTCTGACTGCCTCATTGTAGTAATCTGGTTTTCACTCTACTGTACAAGTATATAGCAAGTGCCTACTGTGAGCCAGACATTGTTCTTAAATTCTTTAGAGATAGCAGTGAGGACCAGCATTCAGTCAGATAGAAAACAGAAACATTGGCGGGACGTAGTGGCTCGCCCGCCTGTAATCTCAGCACTAGAGAGGCTGAGGCTGAGGATCTTTCAAGTTCGAGACCAGCCTGAGCTACAAAGTAAGCTCAAGGCCAGCCTGAACTGCATAGAGAGACCCTGTCTCAAAAAGACAAAAACAAACAACACCCCCCGAAACATTAAACAAGTAACCGCGATGTCAGATAGTGGTAAGGGCTAATAAAGGAGCAGGAAAAGAGCAGTGCCATTTCTGTCTCATTGTAAAGACAACATTTGAGTAAAGATTTGAAGAGCCTGAATTGGTTAGTGCCAATCACTTGTCTTGTTACTGGGATAAAATACCGAGCATCAGCAAGTTAAAGAAGGAAAAGTTTATTGTGGCTCACAGTGCCTAGAGATTTCACTTCATGGCCGGCTAGCTCCAAGGCAGGATAGTGTGGCAGAGGGAAGACACCTCATGGTGTGGTGGCAAGAAACAGGGATCAAGGGAGGAGGGAGGTACACCCTTCCAGTCCATGCACCACCTCCTCCCATCAGGCTGCATGTCACAACATCACATTTAGCTGTAAGTGCATCACAGAATTAATCCACTGGTGAGTATCACCCCCTTATGACCTGATCATCTCCCCAGACCCCCACCTATGAGTCATGAAGCTTGTGGGGGGGGCACCTAAATATAAACCATAACTTTGGGGATCTCTTGAGGAGAGGTGAACAGTGAAGCAGAGAAACTGAAGATGTAATGGTCGTGAAGCCTAGTTGGTCTGGTGTTTGCAAGGACAGTATGCCCAAAGTCCTGTGAGATGGGAGAGAGTGGTAAGTTGTTGAGTTGGAGGAGGAGTGCTTGCTAGACTCTATAGCAGGGCAGTTTGTGAGGATATTGTCTTTCACCCTAAATGACATGGGAGGATTACTGGAGCAAAGTAGACATTGAGCAGACAAGGAAATTCATCAAAGAGAGAATAAGGGACTAGTCCTGGGTAACATATTAAATGTGAGACAGATTTACTTCTAGAATGCAGATCTTCTCACACTTGACCAGTGCCTTTCCACTGCATTACATTTGCTAGGTTTGTTTTCCACTCACTTCCAAAAAACAGTCTGCTATATGCAGTAAAACTAAAGAAACAGAAAATTCTCAATATCACATATGCCCCTTCATGATAAACTTTTAAAAACCTATCATTTTAATAATTTATAAAATTGTAAGAATTTAAAATAAATCAGTAGCCGGGTGTGGTAGCACATGCCTATAATCCCAGCAGTGAATCCCAGCACTCGGAGGCTGAGGCTAGAAGATCACTACAAGTTCAAGACCAGCCTGGGCTACATAGTGAGTTAAAAACCACCCTGAACTACACAGTGAAACCCTATCTAAAACAAACAAAGGAATCAACAAACAATTATGGTGCTAGATTGCAGTTTGGCCCTAATGTCTATAACCCAGGGCCTGAGGTACGCTGAACAAGCACCCTATCACTGAGCTATCCCTGAGCTTCATTCCCAGCCCAGGTTATAGGGTTTTAAATCAGCATTCAGTACAGGTTAAACAGCTCACTCAATTTTATTAAAAACAAAAAACTAGTATATTGGAAGGATATTAAGAGACTTTTTCACCAATAAAGTAATATACTCTGAACACATCAGAAATGTTTACACAGAGTAATTATAAATAAATATGAATTAACATTAAGACATACTTGAGATTTTATGCCTACTACACTAACAGAGGACAGGTAATTGATAGCGTTACAGGCAAGGCTACAATTTATAGAATATGTAATTATAATAAAATAGCATGTCTGTGTATTGAGAATCCTAAAAATAGTTTGTGGCCCGTTTTAAAATATACATTATTAGCCAGGTGTGGTGACACACATCTGTAATCTCAGCACTTGGGAGGCTGAGGCAGAAAATTGCCATGAGTTCAAGGCCAGCCTGGACTATATGAAACCCTGTCTCAAAAAAGACCAAATAATTATAAATGTGTATGTGTATGTGTATATAAATTTATGTTTGGGTGCAAAGGCATTAAAATATCTAAAGAAATTTTAAATTAATGATTTTTTTAAAGACAATGTCTATGAAGTCCTTGAACTCTCTATGTAGCCCAGGTTGGTCTCAAACTCTCAGCAGTCCTGCCTCAGCCTGCCACGTACTGAAATGACAGGCACCTGCCACCACACCAAGCTTAAAATTACTATTTTTTTTACCCATCTTAAAAATAGTGACATTTCTATATCACATTTTAGTGAGTTTCTCCTTCAATTGACATTATTTAAATTTTAAACAAATAAGCCAGAATAGGCAGCACTTGCCATTAATCCCAACTACATGGGAGGCTGAGGTAGGAGAATCACAAGTCTGAGGACAGCCTCAGCAACTTAGTGAGGTCCATTCTCAAAATAACACCAAAATAAAGAATAAAATTTTAGAAAATAAATAAAAATGGCTAGGGATGTAGCTGTGTGGTAAATGTTTGCGCAGCATGCACATTAATCCTCACAAAAAAATCCCTGTGAGAGCCAGGGATATAGCATAGCAGCACAGTACCTACTGGCAAGGGTGGGTGAGTTTGATTCCTGGTACAAAAAATCCCTGTGAGTTACACATTTGGGGGGTATTTGTTATTGTTGTTGTTGTTTGTTTCTTTGCTTTTTTTGAGTCAGGGTCTTGCTATGCATTTCAGGCCACCCTCAAACTCACTACATAGCCTGGGCTGGCCTCAACTTACAGTAATCCTCCTGTTTTAGCCTCCCAAGTCCTGGGATTATGGTTGTGCCACAACATTTGGCCTTACATATATATTTACCCACATTCCAATGCAGGCAATGATACATTCCTTGAAATACTGTGTATGAAAGCTAAAAATATATAAGAAATTGATATATACAACTGGCCTATTAAAATTGATAACCCTAAGCCAGGCCTGCAGTACAGGACTATAACCTTAGTCTCTGGGAGGCTGAAGCAGGGAAATCAGAAGTTTAAGCCCAGGAAATTTAGCAACTTACTGAGATGCTATCCCAGAATGAAACAGGGGAAGAAAGGGGCTGAGAATAGTGTAGTACAAAGATTCAGTCCCTAGTACTGCAAAAAATAAAAATAAAATTGATAACCCTGAAAACTAGAAAGATAATGGTTTGTCTTTAGCAGTAGGAGATGTTATATGTAGTATGATTGATAATATAGGTAAGCATACAAAGACATAGACTTGTGGGGTTTTTTTGTCTTTTTTTCATTTTTTATCGGTACCAGGGATCGAACTCACGACCGCCTACTTGCAAGGCAGGTGCTTATGCTGCTGAGCTAAATCCCCAGCCCCTAAGTTTTTGTTTTTGAAAGTAGTATATATTCATGATAATAAGTAGTATATATTAATGATAGTAAACTTGAAAACATACAGCCACCTAAAAAGTAAAATAGGAGAGTGGGAGTGTAGCTTAGTAGTACACTGCTTGCCCAGCAAGCATAAAACCCTAGGTTTGATCCTTAGAACTACAAAAGGAAAATGAAAAATGGGTGAGTGTCATCAAGTTATCTAGAGTAGAGCTGGTTTTTCTACTTGAGTATTAAATAGTATTTGGTATTTTTCTGTGTGTTAACCTTGTAAATAACTTAATGGTTGCAGGAAAACTTGTATATCCCTCTCTAGTTTTGGACTTTGGAGCAAGCAAAACCCCTTAGCCTGCAAATGTCATATCAGTCTCCCCTTATGTCTTGATGTGAAATACTCCTTTCCTCATGTGGTTCTAGTTCGAGCTGCCTGGCCTCCTATAATGGACTTGCCCCCTGGTTTCCAAACTGACCTGTGCTTCCCAAACCCTGGACACTATAGGCAGTGAAGCAATCTTACCTGGGTCACTTCTATTCTGGGACATTTTGTTTTAAGCTGTTCTTTCTAGTAAAAAGCATATAAGTGAGTCTAGTTTGTGATTAAAAGCAAGGTATCAGTATAAGGCAAGTCAAATGATGAGAGTAATGGTTACCAGCACTTGCTTTGGGCCTCTCAAAGCCCCCACAAAATGCCAACCCATTTCAGGGTCAGCCAGTGGATCCCCAGGGAGAAAGCATCATATCAAAGCAACTCAGAGAAGACCTGAAGAAGCAGGTTTGACTAAACTTGGGAGCAGGATTGGCCAGCTCATCTTGCCTCCTCCTATTCTCATCAGGCCAATCTTCCCATAAATTTTCAGTGTCAGTCAAACACAAAAGAGCAGGAGGCTTTTCTTGTAGGTTTCTGTCTGAAAAGAGACCACACATTTATTTTAAGCATTGTTGACTTTGCAGCTACTTAAGACACTAGTAAGACAAGAACCTTGAGCACAACAGGGGGAACTGTAGCAGGCCTTCCTTCACCCAGTTTTTGGGTTCCTCCTCTTGGAGCATCATGTTTGAGTCAGGCGTCTATCATGTTTTCATTACAGACATCTGACCCAGATGTGATCCTGTGCAATTCTGTAGAGCTGATCCGTGAGCGGCTGACTTTATCTGAGGATGGACCAAGAGGTGGGCGCCAAGAGGAACAGAAGCATGATGACTACGTATATGACATTTACTACCTGGAAACGGCCACTCCAGGGTGGATTGAAAACATCCTCTCTGTGCAGCCTTATACCCAGGAGTGGGAACTGGTAAGGGGGCCCATGAGGACAGAAGACATATGACAACATAAGCACTTTCAGGGTATTTTGCCTCACTGGGCTGTACTGAAAAACATTATTTTTAGTTCTTATTTCTGGTTAAAAGGATTATATCTTTTTGGTTTGAGGTAGGGTCTCCCTTTGTAGTCCAGGCTGGCTTGGAACTTACTGTGTAATTCAATCTAGCCTTGAACCCATGATTCTCCTGCCTCAGTCTTCTGAGTGCTGATATTACAGATATGTGCTGCCATACTCAGCCTGGGTTTTTATTTTATCTTGAAAGGATAAAAGCCTTGATGAAAGCTAACATCCTAAAGCTATTATTCTTAAATCCTAATAAGATTAGTGAGAAGAGGGTAGCATCTGCCAAACTGACACTGTAAGAAAAGCACCTTTCCTGCACCTGCACTAGAACCGTGCAGTCAGGTATTCAACACTGGACACTACTCAGCCCCTGCCTACTCCTGTCTTCCTCCATCCCTTACTCCCAAGCTTTGGGTAGGCCCTTTGGCATCACCCATATAATCACTCTCCAATCTGGCTGCCCTTTAGGAATTTGAAGATTGCTGCCATTTGGGTTAGGAGCTGTTGCACCTCTCTACCCTGTGTCCCCTTCTGGTGGAGCTGAAATGTGGTATCTGAGCAGGGCTCTGGATAGACGAGGGCTACCATCAGCCCCTCATAGCACAAGATAATCAAATTTCTTGTGCAGCACAGCCAAACTCCTTATCTTTCTTTTCCACTTGGCCCCTTTACCCAAATCTCCCCAATCTCGTATGCTCATTCCAAGAGCATTTGGACTTACATTCATGTTTGTGTTGAGATGTGCAGGTGAATGATGATGAGCAACCAGAAGACACTTACGAAGATGAAGATGATGAGAACAGTGAGAATAATTGGCGCAATGAATACCCAGAAGAGGAGAGCAGTGAAGAGGATGAAGATTCCAGAGGTGAGTGGAAGCCTAGACGGGGTAAGAGCCAAGACTGACGTGATGGCATAATTGGTTATGTCTCAGCTTGTCTCCCTTCTGTGCCACTGAGCAGGGCTTCCAGAGGCACTGCCAAGAATGTAATTTCAGTCTGGTGTGGGATTCAGATCCTTAGTTCTGTCATTGCCTATCTGAGCCTTATGCAGCTTACTAAGCCTCATTTCTCTCCAGAAAATTGGACAATATTGCACCAACTTCAGTGATTGGGATTAAGTAAAACATGTAGCCTCTTGTCCTTTTCCCTGCTTCCATCAAGAAATTATAGAGGCTCACCAGTAGGTGAGGACTAAAGTTTTCATGAGTCAGTTATCTAACCTCTCAAGATTGCTGCATTTCTAGCTGATTTGTTTTTAAGATAGGGTCTCGCTATGTAGTTCAGGCTGACCTCAAACTCACTGCGATCCTACTGCCTCAGCGTCCCACATGTGCCACCATGCCTGGCCCAGCTGTTTTTTTTTTTTTGTCTTTTTCGTTTTTATCGGTACCGGGGATCGAACTCACGACTGCCTGCTTCCAAGGCAGGTGCTTATGCCGCTGAGCTAAACCTCCAGCCCCGGCCCAGCTGTTTTGAGAAAGATGCAGTACAGACATGGTACCTAGAAGACGAGGAAGGAAAGAACACAGTTCATCTGGTGACTGCTACATTCCTCTAAGTGTAGCAAACAAAAACCATTTCCTGGTGCCTTATAATAAAGGAATAGTTAACCAGATAGCAGAATAAAACCCTATAGGGAAAAGTAACAACACGCCAGTGTTAACTTTGTTTAGATGGTACAACTGTAATTATTTCAAAAAAGAAAATAGTTCTGTATTCCAAATGTTCTTTATTAAGCAAGTTTTTTTAATGGAGAACAGAAAACAGACCTTTTTGAGAAGGGAAGGAGCTTTTTGGTATCCTATAAAATCGTAAGTGAGAGTCCACTGCTGTTATCGTCCAGGTTCTGATGAATACGACAGCCTGAGTGAGGAAGAAAGAGGCAGCAGGCAACAGATGTGGCGCAAGTACCCTTTGGATGTACAGAAGGAGTTTGACTATGATAACCTGGATTCAGACTGATGGTCTTGTACTCATGAGGTTCTGTCACAGGCCCAGGGAGCCTCTGTGCATAGGGTTAACTGACCTGGTGCCGTCATCTTAATTAAGATTCCTAGCTGAAGAGATGGAAGAAGAAAGCACACTGAATGGTGCCATCCCAGCGCATGGAAAACTTAAGCTAAAGGAGTCTTTTCCACTCATAGTAGGGCCCGTTGATATCAATCAAAAGTGACTGTACAATCTGGGAGAAAAAAAGACTATACAGTGGAAAGTTTGCCTCACTTCCTCCACGACGCATTGTTCCTGGCATTCTAGAGCTATGGCAAAGCCAAAAGGAGAGGAGGGAATTTGGTTTCATCAGCAGTAAGATTCTACTTTCCTTTTCCACCTGACTGCCTGCAGATTCCCTTTGATAATGGGCACCTGCGAGGGCTACCGTGGGTCCCTTGCAGCAGCAGTCGAGGTAATAACAGCTTTTAGCGCAGGAAGTACAACCTGAGCTATGATGTTAACAGCTATCTTGCCTCTTGGCCTCAGACTGTAATGGTATAGTTTCCTGTCATCTTTTGGCAATAGTGCCAAGAAACAGTATACATGAATGTATTGTGTTTAATAAAACTACTTTTGAACATGGAAGCAAGTCATTTCTTCAAAAAATTTGTTTTTTTGAGACAGTGTCTTGCTATATAGCCCAGGCTGGCCTCCAACTCATGCTGATCCTTCTGCCTCAGCCTCCCGAATGCTGCAAGTACAGGCATGTGCCACTGTGCTAGGCTCAAAACCTTTAGTTTGAGTATCAGGTGGTTTCCTACTATGCTTTCACCCAACAAAAAAGAGGGGCAGTAAGTGTGGCAAAAATTTCAGAATTAACCTTACTAAGGACTTAAGAGAGGAAAAAGGAAGCACATCCTGAACTTGGCTTTCTGTTTAAAATGTTTACTATTCATAGCACTCATCAAAATTATATCATCCCTTAGTGTCCATGAGTGACTGATTCCAGGATATCCTGTGAATACCAAATCCACAGATTCTAGTCCCTTGTATAAAATGATGTATTTTAACGTAAGCCTTGCACATCCTCTCTACACTTTGTCACCTCCAGATTACTTATAAAACCTAGTAAAATATTCAGTTTTCAATGAAAAAAAAAACTAGTAAAATATAAATGCTATGTAGTATTATATATGTATTGTTTGGGAAATAATGGCAAGAAGAAAACCTGTGTATGTGTAGTACAGATGCAATTTTATCCCAAGTATTTTCCATCCACAGTTGTTTCAATACAGGAATAAAACAGAACCAGTTTTGTTACCAGAACTTAAGTCTCTTAAGTCAGCAAATATTGTCTATTCCTATGCAAACCCCGCTGTGAGTTACCATCTATTTTTCTAACATTGTCCCATAGAACTTTCTGCAGGGATTTGCTTTATATCTACACTGTGCAATAGCCATTAGCTATATGGAGCTATCATTTGTAATCTGATCAGTACAACTGAGAACCAGTAATTTGTTGTTATTCAGGTTGACCTTGAACTCACCAGGTAACCCAGGCTGGCCATGAACTTGTAACATAGTCCTGCCTCAGCCTTCTGAGTGCTAGAATTAAGGGCATGTTCCACTATACCCAGCTTTTATTTCATTTTAATTCAGCTCCATGTGGGTGGTAGCTCATGGCAACTCAACCTCTGAGGTATGCTCTTGTTAGAATTTGTCACATGAGGAAACAAATTACACAAGGAGGTACCTTCTCACCTCTTTAAGATCCTCTATTACTCTGTCTTCAGCCATTCTTTCATTGTACCTCCATTTTGTAAACCTTTATCTACATTAGTTCCTATCTGCATGAAGTTATTAGCCAAATTCTAAGTATCCACAAAGGTACAATTCAGTGTTGGAAGTAACAGACAACAACAATGTCTCATACTAGTCATAGTTGTCTTTTCGTAGGCATAGAAACCAAAGATTAAAAACCACTCTGCCATTGTAAATCTCACTGCTATTATGTGTTCATTAGTTTTGCCAACATTAAAGGGCTGACACTTCACCAACTGCCAAATGCAAAAGGGTACAGACTGTACCACAGCAAAAGGGATTAACACACCAGGAGACTTGAGACAAAAACTTGGTGGGAATTAATTCTGCCATAAAGTTCACGTGCTTTAGGAGTCTGGCTTTCCTCCCATAAAAGGGCTCATGGGAGATGTCTTATCCAGCCCAAAGGCAAAGAATGCTGTTACCATCCAGTAACAAGAGATGACATGGCTCACTAAGCAAGTATTGGGGCACCTGTAGTGAGGCTTTGTTTCTCCTACAGTGAATCCCCTGGGGGGCAGCAAATTCCTGAGATTAGCTGGTTATTGGGAGAAGAATGCTATAGCCAGGGTCAGGGATCCTCAAAACCAACATATTACACTTTAAGGATTAGTTCCAGAAGAGCCTTGGGATGGATGCCAACTTGGCTCAGAAAGAAATCATGTTTATATAGTTTGAGCAAATTAGACTTTGCATAAGACTACTTGTCATCAAGTAAGAATTTGCTACATAAATCCCAAACCCATGACAATAGGAATGTCCCTCTTAAGTTCTCACAGATATATACCCTGAACCACAACCAACTGTGATCATGTTCCCCTAGATCTTTATTGAGCAAATATATGTCCAGGGTTGCTCCCTTGTCTGTGACAGGCCAGTCTGCTGATGAATGATCAGATGAAATTGCTTCATCACTGTTGATCAGTTCCAAAATATAAGGACAAATTGTCCAAGGAGTGTGCTAAGCGAGCAGGTTCTTCCAGGCTCAAGATGAACTGCTGCACAAGCAGTACAGCCATCCTGCCCAGGAAAGAAGGATCCACTAGGCCAAACCTGTTGTTCTGGCCTGACCCGATGGCCCAGCTTGAGCACCAAAAATAGTTGCTTTCACTCTTACAGTCAGTTGGCTGAACGTCCAAATTGAGGTTGAAGCAGCCTTCTCCTGGAGTCTTCACTGGTGTCCACAGGGAGAATATAAAAGTCCCACAAGTACCAAGCTCTTCCTGAGACTCCAGCCCCATCAAGGCTCTGGCAAGGGAAAGCCAGAAAAGGAGTACACTACTCCTGTAATTCACACGGAGGCAGCTAGGAGTAGCTAAGAGTGTAAACAAAGCCTGATACCCAGGACAGAAAAGAGGATACAGCCTGGCATGGGTTTTTCCAAAAAGGAAATAACTACTTCCAGCACCAGGGTAGGCTTGCTTGGGTCTACACAGCAGTCCCTCACATCCACCCGTACAGAGAAGAACAAGTATTTAATGACTTGCATCAGTGAGATGCTCTTCAACTCACTGACAGCTGATAAATGTCAGGTGATCCACCTGAATTCCAGAACATTATAGTACTCAGTGTTCATACCAGAAACCCAGAAATTTACTTTCTATCAACTAGAACAAAGACCTAACGTCTCAATAAAATAAAGGATTATCCTTTAAAATAGTATTACCAGACTTCTGACTCATAAATTTGTCCTTGTTGAACCTGAGTCAGGTGCTAGTAACATGTTAATCTATATACTAATGTGTAACAAGTATTTAATTTTTCAAAAATCCTTAAAGTTCACCTTTGAAGGTAAGACTCAACAGAAGATTGTATGAAACTCAGTACAAAATCTGTTGTCAGAATCATGTCTGTTTGAAGCCAGAAAGACTCAGTTTTGAGTACTTTGAATTTTTAAGCATAGCCTATTGCATTGAACACTAATCCTTTATAGAAGTCATGTTCCAGATGAACAAATAATGGAATACAGGAGTTTGAATTTGGTGGTAGCCTTAGCGTGCCCACTTAGTTGCAGAGCTGCTGTTTCTCAGCTGGGGCAGTGAGGTTTTTCCCAGCCTGTTTGAAGACCATGGCCTCCACTGAAGCACCAGGGTTCCAGCTATCAAGAGAGCAGTTGGGTGGCCAACACCAACTTACTATTGAGCCAGAAGCTTTCCTTCTTTCTTAAAGACTAAGCACAAATATGATCCAAGCAAATCCAGTCAGGCAGGCAGGGACCTCCTCAACGAGATGGGCAATCTATACAATGAGATCCTGTGCCTCTCTAAGCACAGAGATCCACAAATGAGAGATCAACCTTGAAAACACGCAGTGGGCACTGTTGAGAGCCTGAAAAGATTTCTTCCTATTTGTTTAATGCTGGAGTATGAGGTTCCAAGACAGATATTCCTCTTCCAGAATTTAGGAAATGATAGAAACACTGTTCCTATATTGGTTAAATAAATCTTTGCTGTCCATCCTTCTCAAAAAGCAAACAAAAGCATAAAACCCTGTCTGCAGAATTTTGAACCAGTGAAAGAAACAGTAGCATTGGAAGTCAGGTGAGCAGACCTGATCAGGGGAGAACTTCCCAAAAAAAGTATCCCCTGTGTAGACTCCTGGTTCAAACTTTCAATTGCTGTGAACCACCAACCCTACTCATTGGCTTAGCACTGCAACTTACAAGTATTTGCCAGGATTGCCCCTATCCACCAAGAGGAAAACTAACACTCCCCTGCTCCCAACCTCCCCTCCATCCTGAGCTCCCCATCTTCAGGCTGACCCCAAACCTGAGTATCCTCCCATAGCTTACCAATGAGCACTGGCCCTGAACCTTACAGAATGAGTCAATAAGCTTCTTTAATTCAGGTGTCTGGACTTTGATGTCTGAGCCACAAGTGGCCAGCCTTCCGGATCTTGGAGGATGTCACCTCTGGCCTCTAGTCAGTTTTCCTCTCGACCTTTCTCTCTTCGGTTACATCTAGCTCAGTCAGGACGCAAAAGCAAAGCTGTTGGGTGACTCTGGTGATAGTAGCTAAATGAAAATAGAGAAGTACATTTAACAATTGCCCCAACCTGAACACAGAAGGCTGCAAGCACATCACTGGTTCCCTTCCCACTTGTGTCTTGGACACCCTGAGGCTGGCTTCGCCCCTCAGCCCCAACAAGCCTGACTGTCCTTCATTCTATGCCCAGGTCATGTCTGAGGTATGACTGCTTGTCTTCTTGGGTAGATTACTCTGTCAGCAGGAAGTGCTTTGACCCCCAAACAGGACACAAAAGTTAGAACTAAAGTGATCATGTCAAGATCAAAAGAGAGGTCTAGCAGTCATCCTCTAGAAAATCATGAGCAGGGCAAATAATGTTGTTAGCCTCTGTGGGCACGCAACCAGTGAGTGACAGGGCAAGGAGAAGCTCACCCACGACTTTCCGAAGAAGCAGTGGCCTTCGGGACTCTGGCAGGTAAACACCCAAGAAGTAGACAGGAACTCCAGAGAGGGCGATTCCAATGCCAATGAGAGAATTGATGGTGTCACTGAAGAGAGGCACAATCACCAGAAACACGGAGCATATGCAGAACACGATGGGAAAAAAGAGGCTCAGCTGAAATGGAGGAGGAGTGAAATATTAAGTAGGGTGGGTGCAGGAACAGGACATGGACCAGAAAGTCCTTTTTGGAGAGGGCCCCCCTTCTGGTCTGTACAGAAGCACTAACCTTGAGAGGTCGGGGCCTTTCGGGCTCCTTATAGCGAAGGTAGAGCTGTCCAACAACAGAGAGGCCCACGAAGAACCAGTAGCTGAAGCTGAAGTAGTAGATGAGCAGGAAAACATCCTCCACAATGAGGTAGATGAGCGTCATAGTGCACTGTCAGGGAGAAGTGGAGGGTAGAGGAGGAGAACATGCTGGCACCAGCAGCCCACTCCGAGAGACTTTGTCAGCCAGCAGTCCGTCAGATCTGACGTGGCTTCACCAGGTTACCACAGGTTCTCAGTGAGCCTGGGCATTGGATAGGTCCAGTCCTCACGCTAACCTTCAAGTCAGCATCCCTCCCTCTTCTATACCAGTGCCTCCCTTCTTGTTGCAACCACTTCCATAACAAGGCTGACTCCTCCCCACTTCTGATGGCCATCAGGCAGCCCTCCACGCACCAACCTCAACATGAATCATACTGTGCCCCAGGAAATGCTCAGGCCTGGCACGCAAATGGAGGAAATGCTTCCAGAGCCATCGAATCATCTTAGGGCTTTAGATATGAAGAACAGCAAAATGGATCCACACCCTCTGGGGGAAAGGTTATGGCAGAACTTGCCTTTGAGAGTGGGAGAGCCGGGAATCGTAGAGGACAGACATCTGGGGCCACAGTGCTGGGACGAGGATAGGTTTGTTTAAACTTTAAGAACAGAATTCCTCCCTATCTTTTCTCCAAATTATCAACAAAGCATTCCAAACAGTCTGTTCTGCACAGACAAAAGAAAAGCTTGGTGGTACAATGCTTCCCTAGCATGCACTCCCCAGCACCACAGTAAAAATATGACAAACTATTTTTCATAGTAAAGCCTTTCTCAGTTCCCTGTTACAGTACAAATGAAAAGCCCTGCCCAGACTTCCCACAGCAGCGCTTACATTGAACAATAAAGCAGGGATGGGTGTAAAACGTTCAACGTGGATCATGGACAGAAGGTCTGGGAGATGGCCTTCACGGGAGCCCACAAAGAACAACCTGGAAGGATAAGAAACACGTTAGCAGAGTCCCTGTACTCAGCCACTTAGCCATGCTCCTCACTCAGACAAATTACACTAAAAAACTAAAAGACAATCTCTCAGGCTCTGTGCCTGCCCAGCCTATTACAACACTTGAAGATATCTCAACCCTCTTCAACGCCAGGCACCTCACCACTACCCAGGAACGCCCCACCCCACTGTTACCCACTGACACCCCAAGCCCTAACTGATGGAATTCACCATCCTCCACATTCTCACTTCTCTCAGCTACAGATGCTGAACCCTGCCACCATTCCTGGCATCCCAATCCATCTCGCCAGGTGTATTCCCATTCAGCCATCCCACAAATTCACATAACATAACCTTCCACTTTTCACAGAAGGTCCTCCAGAGGCTACGGTGCAGCTCAGTGGAAGAGCAGTTGCCTACCATGTGTGAGGGCCTGAGTGTCAGTTCCCAGAATGGTAGAAAGAAAACAAAGGAAAGAAGAGAAGGAGAAAGAGAAGAATGGAGAGAAGCAGGGAAGGGGAAAAAAGAGCAGCCATATATACTCTTATACATGGCAAGTTCAAAACCAGCCTGAACTATATAGTGAGACTTGTTTCAAAAAGACCAAAAAACAAAACAAAACAAAAAATGGTATCAGGGGCTAAGGATTGAGTTTAGCAGTATAAGCACTTGACTGGAAAGCACTAGGTCATGAGTTCAATCCCTGGTTCCAAAAAAAAAAAGTCAATTATAGGGCCTGGGATTAGCTTAGTGGCATAAGTGCCTGCCTGACAAATGCAAAGTCATGAGCTTGCAACCCTGGTATCACCAAAAAAAAAGGTATCCCAGAAATCATGTGAATAGTTTCAGAGGGAAAATATATCTCTTCTTCAGTGATCTTGTAGGATAAGGACTAAAAACAAGGGGCTGGAGATACAGTACCTGGCAAGCATGAGGTAGTGAGTTCAATTCCTGGTACCCAAAAAAAAAGGACTAAACACAGGCTAAAAAGCACCCTTATTAATATTTTTCAAGTAATACAAACCAAGGTATAAGAGTAAATGAAAGGAAGTTAAAATGTAGACTACTGACTCAAGAAGCACACCCAGACTGCCTAGCCTTGTAGTGGAGCACACAGTAAGCGCATGCAAGGCCCTGGGTTCAGCCCCCAGCACAGGACACACACTAAGAAAATACAGCAAGAGGAAAGGGGAGATGGAAAAGCTGTTCTGGAAGTGAAATAAGAGAAGCTTGAGGAGAGCTATTTCCAGAGAAATACCCACCAAAGAGGGCTCTGCACAGACAGGAGAGCAGGAGCCTACTTTTTTGCCTCAGTGTTTCCTGTGAAGTCAGGGACTGAGTCATCCTACTCACAGTACTGGTACCTAGTGCACACCAAGTGCTCAGTTGTGTAAGAAGCTACAGCAAAACTCACCAGAATCCTAAAACCTGGAGACTTTCAGGCCACTACTACAAGCTGTTGCCTTCCTCCTTTATACCCTTTACAATCTGTGTTCATGTACTTACAGAAAGGCAAACACATAAACATACACACACACAGGGAGGGAGAAGGGAGAAGAGAAGCGCTTATGCCCCGAGTGCCAGAGAATTAAATATTGGTCTATTATCAGTGAAGCAGAGATACAGTACCTTGATGAAGCAAAAATAGATGCATTGAGGCCCCCAAAGCAAGACAGGGCAACAGCAATGGGGATGATCCAGCTGAACATCCCAAATGTCTGGTCAGCAAATGTCTGAGGAGAGAGCACAGCATACAGTCAACCCAGGTCAAGGAGTCCTTTTCTTCTTGAGACAGGGTCTCACTTTGTAATGCAAGCTGGACTTAGAACTTACTATTTGGCCAAGACTAGTCTCGAACTCACAACAATCCTCCTGCCTCAGCCCACCAAGTGCTGGCATTATACCACACCTAGCAGGACAAAGATTTCTATTCTTCCTGCATCTATACTCTTAGAACAAACACAGCCACTACCCGAGGAGCCTACCCATGACCTAGACCCTTGTCCTCCAGGGTTGCAAAGGTTGCAGAGACTGGGCCATTCAGGGGGGCTGAGTATCATGAAATGATGCACAAACGAGGATCCCAAGAGACTCACCACAGCTACCGCATCGCTGTTAAGGACATCTGAAATGCTCATCACTGAGTAATAGGCCACATTGGTCAGGATGTAGATCAGCGTCACAACCGGCATAGAGATACCAATAGCCAAGGGCAAATTTCTGTCAGAACAAGTAACAAATCAGCCTCTCCTGGGGATCACAGTTCATCAAGTTCCATCAAAATTTTCCTAACACTTAACAGTTCACTGGTCTCCAGGTCTTTAACACAAGACCATCATCCTCTTACAGGCTAGGAGAGGTATGTATCCCACACCCCTGGGTTCTTCCTACTAAACTAGAAAGACACTTTCCCCTCTGAAGATAGCTTATAACCAACACTTAATTCTCGCCATGGTAGGGCCAAATTGTCCCACTGAGTTTCATAATTCTGCTGCATCTACGCTAGCAAGACAAATGTAAAGATCTCTGGGGACTAGAAGCCAGGCTGGGGACCCAGCTGGCCAGAAGCAGCTCGGGTTCCACTGGGTACATACAGTCTCAGGACCACAGTGCAAGGTCCTGACACCTCAGCCCCAGCTGGGTTGCTGCTGCCCATAGAAGACCTCTCCTCTGGGAAGGACCCTGAGGACCCTCCGTTGTGAACATGAGGAAAGCCAAGGACTTTCCCACCTTCCTTCACTCCCACCCTTGCCCCCCTTCCCTCTTAAGTAGAGAAGAGGGAGTAGGGAGAAAAATGGGGTGAGAGGCAGAGGGAGGAGGTGTGGTAGGGTGTGAGCCTGCCCACCATCAGCAGGAGTTCCAGCCAAGGTGGGGAATGAGAGTGTGATCTGGCCTTTACCTTTCTGGGTTTTTGATTTCTTCTGTTACAAAATTAAGGGTGTCCCAACCTGAGTATGAGAAGAGGGCAGACTCCAGGGCAAGAGAGAGGTTTCCCACATTCCACAAGGAACCCTCAAAGGCATCTTGAAAGTGCTCAGAGTGTCCTGTGGGGGCGAAATTGGGGGGGGGGTTCAAGGAGAAGGAAGAGGTCAAAGGAGAAGCAGGAAGATGAAAAAAGTAAAAGAAGACAGAAGACAAGGAAGGGCAAGAAAAGAAAGACAAAAACAACAGGGCAAGGAGAGGGGAAAAAAAGTCATTTAATACCAAAAGAACAACCATCATCAATTCCCTGCACCTGAGCCCTCCCGCCATTCCCTTGGGAAAGTTAACAGGCTTTAGTGAATCTAGACAACAGTCGAAAGACAAATGCATTCCTGTCTGCCCTCAGATGTGACAACAATTCTTCCTGCAACACACCTCACAGCAGGCCACAGCTCTTCTACCTTTCTTTCCCCCATACTGGAGATTAAACCCAGGGCCTTCTCACTGAGCTACAGCCCCAACCCTGTCCATCCATCTGTTTAGAGACAGGGTCTCACTAAATTGCCCAGGTTAGACTCAAACTTGTGATCCTCCTGCCCCTTCCTCCCCAAGTGCTGGGATTACAGGCATACGCCACCACATCCAACTTCCACCTATTTTTTACAACACCATAAGCTGTTTCAATAAAGGATTCATTTTCCATTTACAATCAGGCTTTCCTGCAGAAAGTCTTGGCCCACATCACGGCACATCTTGGTCACTTAGGTTTATCAGTCTCATGAAGGGCACTCTGTTGCTTTACTTGCAGTAGCTTAGGAAACTGCAAACTACAGAAAAACTGAAGTATTCTTATCTCTCACTGAGCTCCTCGGACCCTCCAAGGGAACTAAGACACCTGTCATTCTCCTTAGAAGACTCTGGAGACTGCAGACCTGAAACTCCATGGGGCAGCACCTAGCTGCCAGGAAACAGACCTTCTGGACACACTGGGTGATTTTTGTTTGCTTGTTTATTTAAGGGAGGGAAAGTCCTAGGAAATTAAACCCAAGACCTGTACACCACAGCTCTTTTTTATTTTTTTAACTAGAGCCAGGGTTTCACTAAGTTGTTAAAAGCTGCCTACGCCGAACTCAAACTTGTGATCCTCTTGCCTCAGCCTCCCAAATGCTGAGGTTACAGATGTGTGTTATTATGCCTGGCTAAGACTCAGATTCTTAAGCACACTTGTCATCATCACCCCCTGGGGAGCGCTTAGACCCAATTCTTAAGTGGCAAAAAAGGAATGCATGCAGCAAGAAAACGAAAAGTACAGACTCCATCAGCCAGCGTGATAGTCACTGGACAGAACAGTGGTTTCCTGAGGCACAGATACTGAAGGAAGGGTTACTCAACAACCCAATTTAATTCTAAGACGCTCCCAAGACTCCAAGGACACCCAGAGGGCTGGCTACACTTACTTAGCACGAGTGCACAAAGGTTCTAGACCAACTGCCCAAGAATCACCCAGAGCGCTTGCTAAAGCACAGCTTCGGGGTGAGGGTGTGTGTGTAACTCAGTGAAAAAGTATTTGCCTAGCATGGATGAGGCCCTGGCTTCAATTCCCAGCACCTCAGGGAAAAAAAGCACAGCTTTTTAGACTTCAACTAAACCAGCATGTGACCAGGTAGGTCTCACCTTCCCAGGTGATTATAAACATACTCTGTTGTTAAATGAGGGAAATGCCCTTGGTTAAAGATTCCCTAGGACTTCAAGGACTCAGAAGTTCTTGTTACCCTTATACTACCAATCTGCAGGAATGAAAAGCTTTTGAAAGCCAACATGCTGGAAGGATAGTACCAGTTTCACAATATTTCTAGCATTTTGTTTCAAGTTGACTTTGGAAGGAAATGCTGAACCCAAGTCCAGATGAAAAGTAGACTATAAAATAACCACCCATTTCTACATCCTACCTCCCTCCAGAACACACACACACACACACACACACACACACACACACACACACCCTGCTGCCCCTCTATAGGAGGCTCAAGGGGTCAAGTTTTTCTATTTGCTGCCTGGCAGTCACAGACCAACACCAGCAACCACTGTAACCCCCAGATGACTTCTAGGACCCAATTATGACCCAAGTTTCAAGAGCTCATATGCCCTTGGCTGGCTTCCTGCAATGATCTCAGCCACCACAGAAGGAAAGGCCCCTGAAGGAGGGATGACATTGTCCAGTTGACCAGGCCAACATGGCCCACAAAGCCCACAGAGAAATGCATGGCCATCTCTTGCACCCACTGATACATTCCAACACGTACACAGGAAGAACTAAGCAGTAAACTAGTGAAGTCCCCACATCCTCCTCAGGAAATCAGAATCACTCTTGGGGATATCCACCCTTCTTCCCACCTTGGGCCCCTCTTACCCTGGCACAGTTTAACAACGCCCATGATAATGATGGCAATGAGCGCTAGGACCTTGGCGTAAGTGAATGTGTCCTGTACTCGTGTGCCCCACTTGACATAGGCACAGTTCACAAATGTCAGCAGACCTAGAAGGAAAACCATAAAGTCACTGGCAGGCTTGAGCTGAGGACACAGAGTCCCATCCTCTGTTTATAGAAAATACCATTTCTATGCTTTCTGTCTAAGGTAGAGGGAATAATGGGCCAGTGAGAACCATCTGGGAAAATCTGCTCTAGCTAATGGCACCCATGGACATCTTAACACTACTGATGTTCAAAACTATTCTGAACGCCAGACTCACTTTTGGAAATTGTCCCCAGACTCAAGAATGACTGACCTCATCACACCCACTCTTCCCACCCGCACTCCTGAGATTTCAAACTATGCAAAGCACAAGGACCTCTATGGCCACATCAGATAGTCAGGACAAGAAATACCCATAAAGCTGAGTGAGGTCGCACATGACTATAACCCCAGCATTCCAGGAGGCTGAGGCAGTTTGAGCCCAGTCTTGGTAACTTAGTGACTTAGTTAAAGAGACCCTAAATTTCAAAATAAAAAGTTAAAAAAGATCTGGGGATGTAGCTCAGTGTGAAAGCAATCAATCCCTGATAGCACAAGGGGGTGGGTTTGGGGGAGAGGGAGATAGAGGGAGGAAGGAATGAGGTAAATGTGAATACATGTGACAGGCCATGTAGGAACTAGAAAGACAATGTTTTGTGTATAAATGTTAAAAAAAAAAAGCCAGTTATATACCTGAAAATCTCATAGACATTATCTCCAATCATGTCTCACCAACCCCACAATGCAGATAGGCCTCTTCACATTTTATAGTTGAAGAAACTGAGGCCAAGAGAAGCTAATCTCCATTCTCAAGCCCACATTCCCAAGCCCAAACGACTGGCCCACTGCATTTCTGTTCATGCCACCCAATTCTCAGCGAGGGCCGCAGAGAAGTGATTCCTCCCAAGGCTGTCTTTAAAGCCCAGCTCCTCGCTTACCTCACTCAGCTGGCGTCCTGTGCTGAGGCACAAGTACTTTTTGAACCCCAGTACTGATTACATTTTTCTCTTTCTCTTGCTACATCTCCAGAGTTTTATTTTTTATTTTGAACCGGGAGTTTATAAGTTACTAATTAGCCAAGGCTAGGCTCAAACTCTACAATCTTACTGCCTCACTTTCCCTAAGTGCTTGAGATTATAGGTATATGCGACCATGCCCACCAAAGTCCTAGCACTTTGCTTCTTTTTTTTTTTTTTTTTTTAGCACTTTGCTTCTGCTTAAAAAAAGATCTGCTTTAATCTATAGGGATCAAAGGGTGAGGCTTGGGAAGAAGGGATACAGTGTCATCTCTAACTGTCCCTAGCCTCTAACCAGAGAACTTTATGCAGACGTCATATGCTATCACAAAGTCTTTCAGAGCCTTCCAAAAACTAAAGGAGAGACTGGCTGCTACATTTGGAGAATGTCTTAGTTACTTTTCTCATTTTTGAGACAAAACACTCAAAGCTAACGGAGAAAAAGTTTGTTCAGCTCACAGTCAGCAGTGTTTTCAGTCCATAATCAGCTGGTTCCAAGCCAGGGTAGCATCTCAGAGGAGAAACAATTCATGGAGGGCACAAGGTAACAAAGCAACAAGTAACAACCCCAGCTCTTTCTATCCCTTATATTCTACCCAGGCTGCCTAGGGCAGACAACACACACCCTTAATCCTAGAGCCCATTTTCCTGACACTGCATCATGAGTCAACTCCAGCACCACATACTCTAGATCCAGCCACCACTGAAAGAGCCCTACCAATGACCACATGACCACATGACCACAAAAGACACAAGCCATAACGGAGAAAATCTTCAAAGGAGCCAAGGAATGGAGCTAGATAATGGAAGTGGGTGTTGTTGGCGGCTACAGCAATGGAAAGAAGGGAGGACATTAATTTTATGCACATATCAGGCATGACTAAGGAAAGGCATGCTTGTAAAATCCTAGCTACTTGGGAGGCAGAAGCATCTCAGCCTGGGCAATTTAGCAAGACTGTGTCTCAAAATAAAAAATAAAGCTAGGCATGGTGGCACACATCTATAATTCTAGCAAAAAGCTGAAAAGGGAGGATCAGCATGCATTTGCAGCCAGGTTGGGCTACATAGTGAATTCAAGGACAACTTGAACTACATAGCCAGACCTTGTCTTGAAAAACAAACAAACAAAAAATGTTATTTATTTAACTGGGTGGGTTTTTTTTGTTTTTGTTTGTTTGTTTGTTTTGTTTTGTTTTTGCTTTATTTTGTTTTGTTTTGATTTTTAGGAGACAGGGTCTGTCTCCCTAAACAGTACAGGCTGGCCTTAAACGCATATATTTATTTAGTTATTTAGTTTTGTTTTTATTTGCCTTAAACTCACTTATTTATTTTTTTAGTTTTGTTTTTATTTTTGATATTGAGGATCGAACTCACGTCCTCGTGCTTGCCTGGCAGATGGTTATGTTGCTGAGTTAAATCCTCAGTCCTCTTAAAATAAGTTATGTAGCCCAGGCTAGCATTGAACTTACAGCACTCCTCCTGCCTCAGCCAAAAAATAGTGTTTTAAAAGGATGCAGATTCCAGTTAATGTAAAGGTCCTGGGTTTAATCCCCAAGAATGCAAAAAAGAAAGAGAGAGAGAGAGAGAGAGAGAGAGAGAGAAATTCTGCCTGCCTCCAACACCCATTTCCAATGTCTATCTTAGCCCCTACTCTCTCTGAAATCCTTCTCCAAACATACCCACCAGCCTCCCTGAGTTCCCACTCCTCTGAGTCCCACAGCATCCCCATTTTGCAGACAGTTAGTGTCTAATGTTCTGATCGAGTGGAGATCTGTCTCAAGTAGGTCTCTTCCTTAGGTGTTTCAGTCTTGCTTCCCTAAGATCACAAATTTTAGAGGGAAACAAAAGCATATGGTGTGCTGCTCTTAAACTTATCACCAAGCAACGAGGGGAACTGAAGAACTCTGGTTAGAATCAAGGTGGCAGTGGCTTTCATTTACAGTCAATTGTCTGGGGCAAAGAAACTGTCAGAACAACGGAACTTTCTCTACTCAAAAGAAGAGTACCAGTCAGCTGTGGGGAAAAAAAAAAAAAAAAAAAAACACCACATACAGCAGAACGGCCTTCACATACTTCAGGAGCTTTAGTCCATACTCTGGCAAATAGCACCACAGGTCCTCACTAGTCGATCCTATGAGGTGGGGGCTGGCAGCACAGTGGCCAAGGGGGAGGGGAGAGGAATCCCAAAGGAATGCATGCTACTGGGAGGTCTTCCCAGTGGCCTGCCCTGCTAATTTAAGTTCTATACGGGCTGAGCCAACACAGGTTGTTAAGAGCCACCAGTAATCCTTTGTTCAGTATAGTCAGCTATTCTAAGGTATTTTTCCAGTCTTTTCTTGGGAATTGCATGCCTTCCTCCAGCGTGACAGGTCAAGCCAGATTTTGAACCAAAAGCTGAGATTGTTTCTCCCAGAAAAGTGGAGTTGAAATACCTAGAGACAAATCAATCTAATAGTAGAAGGCTACTCTAAGAGTCAGGAGCCAGGGCAAGTCAAAGAACATACAAGGGCTTACAGGAAGAGAAACCACAAACAGGCAGTGGAAGGAAGTAGGGCGACAAAAAAAAGAAGCAAGAGAAAAAGCTTGGCAAGGATAATGCAATATAGAGAAAACAGACAGAAAGGGAGGAGAGGGCAAATGAAGGAGGGAGGGAAGGAGAGAGGAGAACAGGCAAAGAGAAGGAGAAGGGAACAAGTAGAGAGAGACAAAAAGATGGACATCCACATGGAGAGAAGAGACTGACAATATCCTGGTTGTGTGTGTAGCCGTGAAACATGGAAGAGACTGACACACTCTCAGCCCTACAGGTGATAGAATTGTGGCGCGGCTGAAAAGATACGTATGAAATATAAATAACCTTTATTTTAAGAATGTGGGGAGAGATCCCCCGACCCACTGGGGTCCAGCATTCTCTTCCCAGGGGTGGCGATCTCTCCATTGGACACGTGGAATGGGGGCATACCTGTAGCTTAGGTTTGGGGTGAAGCCTATGGGGCATTAGGGATGCACAGGTAGCCCATTGGTATTCATTTCACGCCAGAGGCAAATTCCTAGGGGCGGGGAAGACAGAGCTCCTCGGTTTTGCCTCTAAGGCTTTAAGGGCTACATTGTCCTGTCTAGGCCAAAATCCTTTCAACTGGCAGGACCCCACTTCTACTCCTTCCCTCCATCCTACTGCAAATTTTCTGCACAATTGTTCCTCTCTGCACTCAAGGAAATATGGAACACAGTAGAAATTCAATGACAGTGTGCTGACCTAATGAATGAATGCCACTCCTCTTGGAAGTCCCTATAAGGCCTGATTAAAAGAGCAGCTGGCAGGATACAAAAGTACTTGGCTGGTGAGGCTGCCTCTGGAGAGGAAGATTAAAGATCTGGATCTGGAGAGGGGAGGAGCCTTGTTCCATGGAATACCCTTTTATACTTCTGACTTAATCACCATGCACGTATGCTTTTTTTCTCAGTAACAGCAATTAATTATCCTTAGTTCCACAATTACAGAATACATATGAACACAGTGCACCTTTAGGATGGAGAAGCTCTCTGACATTTTGGGTCACATAAATCTTCATTGTGCTGGGCTGTTTGTGCGCGGTAAGATGTTCAGCAGCACCCCCGCCTCCACCCACCTGATGTCAACAGCACTACCTCCTAGGCATATGTCAACAAAAATACCTCCAGACATTGCCAAATGTCTCCTGGAAGACAAATTCACATTCATTTGAGAACCAATACTGTAGGACAGGAAGTAGGTAAGACAGCCTGAAATCCCAAAATAGCCGCTTGAATCTCCCTGCTTGTGTAATCTGAGATGGGGTGGTATGCAGCTCAAAAGCCAGGATCTGAAGCAGCAATGCTTCAAGGGCCAAGAAAGGAATACAGATAGGCAAAGGCAAGAAAGTCTGGGCATAAAACAAGAGGAAAGGGGCCTGGGATTTAGCTCAGTGGCACAGGGCCTGCCTGCCAAGCACAAGGTCGTGAGTTCAAACCAAAAAAAACAAAAAAAC